TAAATTTCCTCTTTTAAAAGTTTTGTTGTAGGTAGTGAAGTAGCTCAATGGTAGATTTATCAAAAATTTCCCTAAGAAAAGTATTGGGGCTGCAACAGCACTTACTTTCTCGCGAAATTGTTAATGGCTGTGTCATATTATAACATGAAAATGTTAATGACCATTTGAAAAATCGTAACCAAAGGAAACGTGAAAAATATAAATATTTTTTAAAATTAAAATGTTTAAACGAAAACGGCTCTGCCATTAAATTAAGTGTATTGAGGATCTACATAAATGTACCGAAGATGTGCTATGCGTATTTTGGCCATAAATAGTTGATATTTTCACCAACTAAAAGCGGCAATTATGATAGTCTTCTATTATCAGTGCGGTGTTACAACAATAGGTTGCAACAATCAATGACCACTAATTCATATGGGATATATATTTTGCAAATTAACATTCTTGATACCACTAGAAAATGAAATTAAATATATTTTTATGTCTATAAACATTACTCCATTTTTACATGCACTACTTTTCATTCCTACCTATTAAGCGAAGATAAATCATATATTATTTTTCACATTTAACTCAATTAAAGGACGCAATTCAAAATAGGTTTTACACACTTTCTAAAAGATTAAGTTGTAAATGTGTAACGAAAGCTCCAATGTAGGAAACTAACAAAGATACATGAAATAATATACAAATTCTAATTTGCGTACTTGTAACATCCAACTGCCTGAAATTACCTCTGGTACGTTCACAAAGAGCAGTAACATGGGAGAGGATCAAATTACAAAAAACTACTTATATTTTAAAAGAAATGTAACAAGACTTTATTTGAAGATGTTTTTTAGTAAAACATTTCATTAAGAAAAAAATGTATATGCAAAATTGGGGTTGTTGTAGGACGCAATTTTTTTTTAAATTTTCGAAAAGACAGGCAATTAACGAACATGAGACCTGCACCATTCTCTTAAGCGCCCTTTACGCTGAGATCCAAATTTAATAAAAAAAATGTATCCTATTTTTTAAGAAAAAATGGTTTAAACAAAATTAAAATTATCCATGTTAGACAAACAATTTCGCACAATGAACCAATGAACATGAGACCTGCACCATTCTCTTAAACGACCGTAACACTTCCCAACAACAGAGTTTAACCGAAAGGTTAAGTTTCTTTTGATAGTTTTGAAAATGTTCCAGGGGCACCATTTAAAGTACACTCATAATTAAACTATGATTCAAATTGAAAGAGCCGCGATATCAGACATCGATAGGGGAATGTGTTTTTCAGAAAATCAAATGAACAGTTAGCGTTTTCAGACGGACGGAAAAACTTCAATCGATTATTAATTATCAAGGACTCACAAACCATAGATTCTGGTTAGTTTTTTAGTTGTTAGTTCTTTTTAATTTAGCAACTGTATTTATCCACTTTTTCGTTACCTGGGCCCGAATGTAAGAGATTTCCAGGCGAAAATTCGTCGTTTATTTGCGCAGTATTACTTCTTGTCTAAGCGTATGCAATAGCAAGGAAGTAATAATGAAATAACCAATTTTAATTTTAAAATTAAGGCAATAATTTTTCAAATATGCAGAAAATTTTTAACGCCATTTAAAAATGTGTTCTTCCTGTCACGTGTAATTGTACTTTGAGTGTTGTTTGGCCCCACTTGAATTTTTTAAGAATTCCAATAAAATTAGGGGTCAATTAAAAGAATATTTTGATATTAAGGTGACAGAACACCTTCATACTAATTGGTTGTATCATATATACTGATAACATTATTTTTGTATAAAATAAACAATAAATTTAGTTTAAAAATAAAT